AAAAAATGTGGCTAAATACATTCTATGAATATGTTACTATATTATAAAACTTGTCAAAATTTTCAATAAACCTCAAATAAATACTTAATGATACTTTTAAAATCTTTAATAAATATTAAATAAATACTCAATGTGCTTTTTACATCTTCAATAAATATCAATTGAGACTTTTAAAAATCAAAATCAGTTATATTTTTAATAATAATCTTTCCTTACACATCTTAAATTCTCCTTTAATATAATTATATTTCAATCTAATTTCAACCATTTTAATTATGTTTTCAATAATGAAAATGATGATTTATACATTTTTTATTCAATACATACAACGATACCTAACCAATTTAGTTATTAAAAGCAGAATACCCAAATTCACCCCCAAAGTATAGTGACAGGGACGGATCCACCTTCGAACAAAAAATGGGGGCAAATCCACCCATAAAGTTTTCGATTTGGACAAATCACCCCAAATTTAACGTGTGACGTCATTTGATATCAGCAATCTGTTAATTTGACGTCATCTGACGTCAGCAATCCGTTAACAAATTAACGAATTGCCGATGTAAAATGACGTCATACATTAAATTTGGGGTGATTTGTCCAAATCAAAAATTTTGTGGGTGAATTTGTCCCCACTTTTTGTTCAGAGGTGGATTCATCCCTGCTACTATACTTTGGGAGTGGATTTAGGTATTTTGCCGTTATTAAAATATAATCTAAGTGTAATTAATTCATTTGGTTCTCTCGTATTGTATACAAATTATATTTTTCAATTTTTACACTTTTAATTTTAAATAAAAAAATAATAAATTTTTAAAAAGCATATTGTGAAATGTGTTAAATTATAAAATGGCTAAATCAATGTCCTTTCAACAATAATATAATATTTTCATAACCATCTTCAATTTTCCTTTAAATACAATTTTACTTCAATTTAACTTCAACTATTTCAATTATATTATCAATAATAAGATAATCTTTCGATATGCATATTTAGTTCCCCTTTTAACAAAATTTTACTTTAATTTGACCTCTAATTAAATTTTTAGATATATTTAACAATAAAACACGAAGCAAACTCTATTCAACTTGCTTTCCTCCTCCACTGGAAACTTCCGTTCAACTTGCTTTCCTCCTCAGTTTACTTTTCTCCTTTAAATAATTAACGAATTCAATTATTTAACTCTCAAACTATTGATACTTTGATAAAGGATAAGTCCTATCCTAGTGTTGTCCTGCGCATTCACCGAATTTGGAATGCTATAACCTGAGGCAAAGAAGTCATCAATGGCAGTCTTGGTGTCGTGGAAATCGACATTAAAGTGGGTTCCACATTGATGCTCAATATATGAGCACTGATAAAAATAAAAAATAAAAAATGCTCAATATATGGGCTTGTAGGTATTGTATATCATTTTGAAATACATTGGATGTAAATTTTTCGAAGTAAATATGTTTTATTAGCTCTAATGTTCCCTTAATTTGATATATTTAATTTATTTAGTTATTTTTTTAATTTTTATGTGATTTTGTTTGATCATATAATTTCAATAATATTCTTACTTACCAGTTAGATAAAAAGGTACTAAAAAATTAAGGATAATAAATTATCATTTTTATATTTTGACTTATGGATTTAAAATCTTTTTAATATGAAGATTTAAGAGAGAAGACAAAATGATTAAATATGTATAAATATATATATGTATAATAGTACTAATAGTTATAGATGTAAAAAAAAAATAATAATAATAAAGTTTCAATGAATTGCTGGTATTTATCTAAAAAATTTTAATTGCTTTTATAAGTTAGATATTTGTTTATAATTAATTAATAATTGCTTGACAAGAGTTTTATATTCATTAATTAATATTTAATTTAAATAATAAATTAAGA